ACATATACGCGGTAATATACAGAATAAAAACGTTGCGCTGTAAAAAATTTAAAAAATAAAGCACCGACAAAAAAAATACCTGTTTGATTTCGTACATTTTTAGCGTTTGTTCATGAACATGGGCTAATATTCACGATCTTGTAGTTTGTACATATTTGGAAGACGTGAAATTCAAATTTCTTCTCTTTCTATTTTCTATTGAAACCACATCCTAATTTGTAAGATATATAACATTGCCATATATATTTTTTTTCATGTTAAATCAAAGAAAAATGATACAAAGCCAACCTAGTGTACAACTAGGTTGACAACACAAGTGAAAAGATATAAATCAAATATCTCATAACTTGCCGCAATTTAAGGTATGCGTTTCATTTGTTTTGGTAACTGATATCTTGCATCTTTATAACTAATTGTTATGTAATTTGTAAAGATATAATTATGATTTGCCCCATCGCACAATTACAATTATTTTCAGATCATGTGGTAAAGATAAAAATTCGCCTTTCTCTTGAATATATTTTATTTATATTATTAAATATGAATGTTTTGTTCTAATAATTGTTATCATGACTAGGACTGCAAATGAACCTAGTGGCTCGCGAGCCGCTCAAAGCTCGGCTAGAGCTCGAGTTTAACCGAACTCTAGCGGCTCAAGCATGTTATCGAGTCGATCTGGAGCATAGATTTTGGAAGGTCGAGCTGCTCGCGAGATATATAGTGAATTACCGAAAAATCCTTTATATATAAATATTACAACATTTTATATATGTACTTAGTTGTAATATTTGAAATTTGAGTCGAACTTGAGCAATCTTTCAAGCATTTTGATTTTAATCGATCTCGAGCCAAACTCGAGCGATTATCTTCTTTTGTCGAGTCGATCTCGACCGTCATAAATCGAGCTCGAGCAGATAAAAAAAATCAATCTTGCTCGATAAGGTCAATGATCGACTCAACTCGACTCGACTCATTTGCAGCTCTAATCATGACAACATCTCATGACTCCAATTCTTCATAAGTTCACAATTAGTATATTGTTAGAAAGCTCTAACATTTAGACAATATACTTTTTCTGTAGAGATACATACTTTCAAACCGAAATAACACACGCTAAACATCACCATAAATAAAGTATGAAATTTCATAAAATAAATATCAATAATACTGATAATAACATCTCATGTAAGTAGCATTATATAACTAGCTCTATGTCACACATTGCATACATAAACAATGTTTCCTTTTTTTCTCAGCAATTTAGTCACACATTACATACATAAACAAATGTTTCCTCCTTTTTTCAGTAATTACTTGCACAAAAACATAAATCATGATCACAAAAAGGGGATCAAATTAACATTGGTACAAATCTTGTTTATTATTTCTCTTAGATGAGTGTATTTACTCATACTGTAATGTGGTCAACTAAAAGCCTTTGATCACTTGGTTTGGATCCAGTTGACCACTACAGTAGCTTGAAGAGACTGTTGTAATCTCTTGAAATCCTCTCCAAACTTCAAATGGTGTTAAGACAATTGGGTTTTCAATTGCAGCTGAATCTAATGAAACCATTGTTTTATAGTCATTTTTGCTTTCCCCTGAATTCCACACAACTGCCAAAAAAATAACCAACAAAAATAAATAAACAAATAAATAATAATAATAATNNTNNTNNT